ATGCAACCATTAGCTGAATGTACTATCAATAAAATCCTGGATCGCAAGTACTCACCTTAATATTTAAAAAAAAAAAATATATAGTAGTTTTTAAAATAATTTTAAAAATAAAATTGTAAAACTTATTTTATTTTAATTAGTTAAATAATAAACATATTATTAGATAAAAAATAATTTAAGTTAATGTTATTATTATATTTTTTCAAACCATTATAAAAAAATATTTTAAAATTTTAATAAAACTTGTTGATTCTTTTTTTCAATTTGTTTTAAATTTTTTTATAATATTTTCTTGTTTTTTTTAAAAAATTTAAATTTTAAGAAATTTAATTTCAAGAATAAGAAATGTTAAAAGAATAGTAAAAACCAAGTTGTTATTAATTGATGTTAAATATAATAAGATAGTTTGTAAATATTTATTAATGTATAAGTTGTAGATTTGTATAAAGTTAATTTTCTTAAGAATTGTTTTAAATAAAATTATTGTTTAAATTGTTTATATAATCATGTAAAAATAAATAATTATTGTTTATTTTGATATAAATTTATTTTAACTCTTAAATAAAATATAACGGAAAAATAAGTTTATTAAAAAAAACCAATAAAATTTTAACATTTAACATAAAAATCCAATTTTTAAAATACCATTAAAAAATTTTCATAAAATAAAAATTATTTACCAACCAACTTGTAATACGCTTTTAATTTAACTTGAAAAATAAAAAAGCAAGACTTAATAAAATTTAAATTAGACAAAAATAAATCAAACATTTTAGCGTGTTAATGTTTGTTACACAAAACTGTGTGGTACCAATAAAAAAAAAAACACTGGCCAATTATGTTTAAAAAGTTGTGCCACTTTAAATTTTTAGTATTGTACAAGGTAAATTAACCAATCAGCGTAATTTCATGATAATCACATTTGGAGTCACATGCACTAGTTGATATAACAGATTGATTAATGATCATTTTTATCAGGAATGCCCTAGACGAGAGCATGCCCCAAAAAATTCCCAGTGCCAACCCTACAGAAAGGCAAAATAAATAAAACGAAAACTTTAAAATATACGAGTACTCGTTCGTTGAAACATCAATAAATCCAAATGAAGGCTGTGTTCTTTATCGTTTAATTGAATTGCAATTTAGACATAACAGCAAAGATCTTTTTTTATATATTATGAAATAAACTTAATAGAATGTAGAAGGTCGTTTAGCTAAAAATGTGGACCTATTACCACGAACAACTCGATGAGGAAGAGGGAATTTAAGTTTCGGATCAATGAGTTGTCTGATGTATGGACGTTTCACCTAAAAAAAGTATGCACACATATTAATATAACCATAAGGTAAATTAAAAAAGAATCATTTTATAAAATTATTATTACTTGAGAAGTTTTTAAATCCGCAACTCGTATAATTTGAATGGATGAAAATCTAGCACGGTGACGAGCGGCCATGTCTTGGTCTATTTAAATAATTGTAAATAAAATTGTACTAATCATGACTTAGATGAACTACATATACTCACAACAAGCGGTAACTGCGTCAGTTCTATTTATTTTACAAGAATAAAATTAATTAAAATATAAATAAGCTAAATCACTAGACAAAGAGCCGTACCTAGTCATTTCTCTATATTCTTTATACATGTTATGTGTACCGGAACGAGAATCATATCGAAGAAATATACCATAATTCTTGATTTGTACTGGCCTTTTCTCGAATATCTTTTATAAAAATTATATGTTTCTTTAGTAATCATATTCATAAAAATTTGCCGCAAATCAAATCGATAATAGATTTTCATCGCTATATTATAATTTATCAAGAACACTATCATAAAGTTGGACTGTTACCACTAATGATTCCAAAGAATGTTCAATGAACATACCTCATTAATAGAAACGATTTCACCGGCAGCTTTTTTGACCTTTTTAAGTTTTGTTAAAAAATACCAAAATCTACTTTTTGCTACAACTTCGTTAGGAGCAAAAAGCTTCATACGATAAAGACTTGGTACTGGATCTTTTTGACTTGGTAGTTTGCGACCAATGACTTGATATTCGTGCAACTGTAATCATATTAAATTATCAAAATATTAGAGCTCATTAAATTCTCATAAAACATCTTCAGTCATTTGGCTCCCTCGTATGGTTGAAAAAACTGAGTAGAATACTTACTCTACCCATTTTGCGAAGAGGAAGATCGCTATGACTTGTGATGTGATTTTTATTAAAAAAAAAAATTTCGTCATCAATTTATGCATTATCACGTGAATATAGATAATCTTAAAATTTATCGAAACAACTCGCTCAAATTAGCAGTAATGTTCGCTATTCGGTCTGTCGTGGTTAATGCTACCACCCGAAAGTAATGTATTATTGAACTCTCAGTAGCAAATTTTGTCTTTGGCTGCGAATTTTAATATAAAGAGTTTTTACTATTTTTGAGCTCAGATTTTAATATATTATAAACTTTATTTTAGTGTTGGGTGCCAAGGTCGTAATTATGCCACCTTAAAAGAAAGTAAGCTTACTTATTTCTTTTTTCTTGCATATAATTAAGTTTTCGAAGCGCACGCTAATATACTCTTTAACAGTTCAATTACGTTTAAAGTCTGTTCGCAGTATTGCAAAGGTTATTCTTTATCCTTGAAAATTAATGAAATCCCAGATAAAATTCTGAAAGTTATTGCATTTGATAGATCACGAAATCTATGAAGATGATCGCATCGACAAAGATGGCTCGGTAAGTGATTACATTTTGTTTCAAAAATGAATTCAAATTTGATAGTAAAAGATGTTTTATTGTAATTTTTATTTGAAAAATAACTCAAGTGCTCAAAAAGCAATGGAAGTTGCTAGAACATTTGGTGCTACTCAAACTGGTATGCCATAGATACATAATATTATACAATTAATTTCATATTTGTGACACCACCCATAATTAATACACCTTTTAGCTCTTTTTACAAATGCTGACACTAAACCAACCGAGGAGGGTACCACATTAATTATTACCGTATCATCAGATCGTGGATTATGTGGCGGTATTCATTCAAGTGTATCAAAAGCTTCTCGTAAACATGTCGAAGACAAACCGGATGCGCAAGTTGTGGTATTGGGAGATAAAGCAAAATCTCAACTTTCACGCACAATTCGTAATAATATACGGCTTTCGTTTAATCAAATTGGAAAGGCTACTCCAACCTACTCTGAAGCGTGTGTTATTGCTGACACCATATTGAATGAAAAAGTTGAATTTGATCAGGCTATAGTTGTTTATAATTATTTTAAATCAGTGATTTCTTATGAAGCTGACACGATTCCTGTATATGCAGTATCCACTTTTTCTAAGTCAGGTATTTCGTTTTTGTGTAGCAACATAAGCAGAATGATCATTATAATGCCACTAACTTAAGGTTCTAATAATGTTTCGTAGGAAAATTTGATGCATATGAAATTGAGGATGATGTATTAGAAAATCTTCAAGAGTTTGCGTTAGCAAATTCAATTTATTGGGGTCTCGCTGAAGGCCATGCGTCAGAAATGGCATCAAAACGCAGTGCAATGGAAAATGCTACAAAAAATGCTGGTGAAATGATTGATAAACTTACATTAACTTATAATCGTGGTAGACAAGCTGTTATTACCAGTGAATTGAGTAAGTATATTGTGTAGGCACATAAAAAAATGCGATTTAAATCTTTTCAGAATTAGTAATATACTAACGTTATCTTTTTCATAGTCGACATTATTACTGGTGCTTCCGCAATTTAAGTAGTTTTTTTTTAATTTGGGATTCACTATGAAATTTTGAATAATTGTTTTGAGTGTTCTGAGTATTTAATTGTTAGCTCATCAATAAAATCCATTTTGAATCTGACCAATAAACTAATTTTTCTTCTCAATAATATACTACTATTCTCTATGATTTATTATATTTACTATCCTAATATAAATCAAATTTTAGTCTTCAAATCGTCCTCGGGACATATGGACTGCTGTCAATAGAAATCAAGCAGATTGACATTTTTAAAAAAATTAATACCTTAACTTTTGCAACTCATATTTCGAAGCTATTCTTATGATTAAATAGTCAAAAGAAGACTTAGATCTTAAGCTTTCATTTGACCATTTATTCATAAGAATAGCTTCGACATTCATCGAGATATTAGCAGTAAAAATTAAGGCATTATTTGTCACAGCTGATGCTGAAATTCGGACCTATTTTGATATGAATTTTTAAAAAAATTTTGGTGTTTTTCCTTGCTTTTTTTTTTATAGTTGAGTTGGTGTTTAGGGTTAGAATTTATAATTAAAGAGTATATGTGGATTTAGCAGTGTTTATATTTTTAAACCGAAATTTTAGTTGACATTAATTTTTTTAAACTGTCAATCTGTTTGATTTTTATTGATGGCAACTCATATTGTAGAAGTATTTACAAGTTAACACTTTTATTTATTTATTTGTTTTTTATTTATTTATTTTTTATTTATTTATTTATTTATTTTTATTTTTTTTTATTGTTTTTATAAGCAGTTATGCTAGTGCTTTATTAAGATTTTTGAAATTACTATTGCAATTACATAAATATACCTAACAACTAAGCTTAGCATCACCCAATTACCCTAATAGCACCTAAGTGTAACTTGTCATATTACCTTTAGCAGAGATAAGCTGCTTGTCTGACTACTTAAAATCTATAATAAAAGGGTTTTCTTCTTTTATGACAAGTTCTTGAATTGTTTTTTTAACTTTTTCTTTGATTTGTTTTTCTTTTTTTTTCTTTTTTTTTTCTCTTCTATTTCTTAGTAATTACTTTTTTTTTTTTTTGCTTAAATTTTTCTTTTTTTTTTTGTTTTTTTTTTTTAGTTACTTATTATTTTTTTTTTCTATATATTAACCTTTTCAGAGTATATTCTTCAGACTTGTTTGCAGAATATGTTTCATGCTGTTATTGTTACTATATTTATAAACTGTTGTCTTGTTTTTATATTTAAAAGTTGTGATAATCTATCTTAAATTGCTTTTGAAATTAAGTTTTTGATTAGTACTTTTCTTATTTCTATTTCATTTCTCTTTGTTTTTTCAAAAAGTATCATATATAATACTATTAGCAAAATTTTAGATACAAAATATTTTAAAAGATTTTGCATAATATAAAAATTTCAAAATATTGTAAAAAAATTTTAAAATATTTGTAAAATGCAAAATATTACAAAACTATTATATTATAAAAAAATTTTGAAATATTGTAAAAAAATTTTTAAAATTTTTGTGCATCACAAAATATTTTATAATATAGCAAAAAAATTATCTAAATTTGTAATAAACAAAATATTATAAAATAAATTTAGAAATTATTTGAAGATTCTAAAATATTTTAAAATATTCTAAAATAATTTAAAATATTTCAAAGTTCATTAAAATTAAAAATTAATAATAGAATTAATATTTAATCATAATATAATAAAATTAATTTTAAATAAAATTTTGATTAATAACAAAAAGATTATTCATTTTAATATTTTAAATGATTTAAAACATTTTAAAATATATTAAAAATTACTAAAAATATAATTATTAATCTAAATTATTTAATAGAATAAATCTCTAAATACATAATAGTATAGTATATTTGTTTTAAATTATTTTTATCATCATTATATTTATATATAAGAATATTTCAAAAGAATTGAAAAGATTTAAAATATTACAAATATTTTTAAAAAATCATATTGTTACAAAGTAGATTATTAGTATAATATAGTATATTATATTATTAGTTGTTATTATATATTTATTATTGTATTTTATATTATATTTATTATTAGTTATTAGCATAGTTATATTATAATATATAGTAGTTAAATAATAGGATCTTAATTGGCTGTTAAAAGTATGATACAGACATATGACATTGAGTAACATCTATGATGTCACTATTGTCTTACAAACTCCAAGTACCTCTATATAAGTTTCATATACTCTAGTACAATTTACTATATCAAATAACATAATACAAGAATCCCAAGTATCTTTTCTACAATCCTCAAGTATTTCTACACAATCCCAAATATCCTAACACAATCCTCAGGTGTCCCTATACAATCCTAAGTATCCTTGCACAAATTCAAATATCTTGACACATGCTCTAAATGTTTTAAATACAAATGATAAATACATATAAAAATTGTTTTAACTATTTCTGTACAAACTCCACTTACCTTTACACAATTCTTACTATTCTAAATACAGTATTAAGAGATGTTACTCAAACTTCTACTACCTCTACTAGATAAAAAGATATATAAAGAATACCTTTTCCTCTTTTCTGTCAATTCTAAGTTTCTATACTTTAACCCAGACATAATAATCTTTTAATTATAAATATGATAACCCTTCTCTAGAGTAATTTCTATAAGCAAGGTTGTCACTATGTATGTTGTTAATAAAAAATTAATCTATATACTGTTATTATTTTGAATCATTTGCTTGCTGCTGTGTAATAAAGTGAACTACTATATCTCTACCCCATATATATTTGCAATAGTCAATCACTGTACTGAGTGATCTTGTTACTTGGCTATATTGTACTAAGAAGGCTACAACTTTGTAACAATATCTTTATAATAATTAAAAAATATAGAAATAATGAAAAATAAATTAAAAATTAAAAAGTTTTTTAAAATATTTACAAACTTGCAAAAAAATTTTTTAAATAAAATCAAAATTCTATATATATAAAAAAACTATGCAATAAAGTTTATTTAGCTTGTAAAAAACATATTCAAATTAGATGAAATAACAGCTTTAATTTTTAGATTAAGTTAATAAATTATAAAAATATTTGTATTTTTTTAATAAATTTCAAATATCTTAATATTACAATAATTTAAAATAATTCAAAATAATGTGAAATATTAAAAATTACATTAAAATTTTATATAACTAAGTTAAATTTAATAACTCTTCCTGATAATCACTTAAACCAAACTAGTATTAAAACAGGTTAAAGAATTATGTTTTTAAGTAGATAATATCTTTAATTTTGTTTTAATATATAAAGCAAATTGTTATTAATAAACTAAAAGTATGTAAAAAAACCAAAGTGCAAGCAACTCTTTTGGTACTTTGTGTTAAGATTAAACCTTTTAGTAAGTAAACTTCTTAATACATTTAGTAT